GTAAATTTCAGTTAAGCGCAACTTTCAATTAGCTCTGTTTGCATCGCGTGTTTAGTCTTGTATAAACCAACTGAGGAAGGCTTTTTGTTGATAACGCTGAATATAGAAAGTATAGATCACCACTTCAATTATGTGTTTGAGTATTCTGGATAACAAGCGTGATGGCTTTTCGTATAAGTACAAATAGACTCTCTAAGTGGCACTTTGTCTTCTGTTTGTTGTTATCTTTCTATAATTTATTAAGAGTAAAGAGCTCAAATATAAGAACGAGTGGCGTGTTTCTTAGTTGATTTCAAAGCAAATTGCAACTTAATCCTTTGATTTTTCTGTTGAAAACCTTACTTTCAGTCTATACAGTCATATTGCATTCTGACTGAAATGATTGAAAGTTTTTCAATCACCAGAATGTCTGAATTTTGTTTCCTTGACAGCTTTTCACAAGTAAATATAATTAAATCAAATATGATGAACAGCCATGCACAAAATCCTCCTTTGTTTTCTCATGGAGTGAAGCTCAATTGATTAAAATTGCTTCAGTCTAAGGATCTAAGTTTCATTCGACCTAAATCGACAAAAGTGACACAGCAGAATTCAGATCCAATAAGTAGTGGCGTTATGATTCTATTTTTTGAGAAAAACAATCGTAGAAGAATTTTTTTTTCGTAGACACGAAATCTTTTAACAAATGATTATTTTTGAAGAATTGCGCAAAACATGAACGTTTGTTGAAAATCGATTTAGAGGAAAAAATTAAATGATCTTTACCCCTTGTGGGTAACTGAGCTGTGATAACTTTGTCAATAAATAAAACAAACTTTCAGGACTTCTTAATTTGACAGCTGTGAGAACATGACGCCTGTGTAAGTGTATACATCTAGATAAACCCTGTATAAATGCTTTTAACGATGAGTATAAGTGTTTGTAAATCTGACTTTCTGTATTTCTAAACTCCACCCCCACCCCCTCCCTCGAAAAAAAGAGATCTTTAGCCTAGTTTGTCGGCTACTTTTGTCACACTCAGAGGAAATTTTATTCAAGTTCAAAGTGTTTTGCTCTTAAGAGGAGATTGCTTTTTATTTCTTTTCAATTTAAGGACACTATAGCCAAACGTAAATATACTGTATCTCTTTCAAGTTATCAAAACAAATTTGCAAGATATTGATATTTGTTGAAAGGAAACGTCATCTTTCAATTTCGCAGATGCTGTGCATGAATTCAGCTGCTGAATGCGAATCACTGCGTCTCCAACAAATGAACTATGTTTCGTTATTCAGAATTCAAATAGTGCAGGTGCTTTCCCCAGCTCTGAAATACTATAATTCCAGTAAATTTCAGTTGAGCGCGACTTTCAATTGGCTTTGTTTGCATCGGGCTTTTTATTGATAACACTTAATATTAAAAATATAGTTCACCACTTAATTATGTGTTTGAGTATTCTGGATAACAAGCATGATGGCTTTTCGTATAAGTACAAATAGACTCTCTAAGTGGCACTTTGTCTTCTGTTTGTTGTTATCTTGCTAAAATTCGTTAAGAGTAAGGAGCTCAAATATAAGAGCGAGTGGTGTGTTTCTTAGTTGATTTCAAAGGAAATTGCAACTTAATCCTCTGATTTTTCTGTTGAAAACCTTACTTTCAGTCTCCTGTCATATTGGATTCTGACTGAAAAGATTGAAAGTTTTTCAATCACCAGAATGTCTGAATTTTGTTTCCTTGACAGCTTTTGACCAATAAATATAATTAAAACAAATATGATATACAGCCATCCACAAAATCCTGCTTTATTTTCTCGTGGAGTGAAGCTCAATTGATTAAAATTGCTTCTAAGTTTAATTCGACCTGAATCAACAAAGGTGACACAGCAGGATTCAGATCAAATAAGTAGGGGCGTTATAATTCTATTTTTTGAAAAAAACAATCGTAGAAGAGTTTAGTTTTTTTTCGTAGACACGAAATCTTTTTACAAATGATTAATTTTGAAGAATTGCGCAAAACATGAACGTTTGTTGAAAATCGATTTAGAGGAAAAAATTAAAGGAACTTTACCCTTTGTGGAAAACTGAGCTGTGATAACTTTGTCAATAAATCAAACAAACTTTCAGGGCTTCTTAATTTGACAGCTGTGAGAACATGACGCCTGTGCAAGTGTATAATCTAGTAAACCCTGCATAAATGCTTTTAATGATGAGTTTAAGTGTTTGTAAATCTGACTTTCTGTATTTCTGAACTCCACTCGCCCCCGCACCCCCTCGAGAAAAAAAGGGATTTTCAGCCTACTTCGTCGTCTACTTTTTTAACATTCAGAGGAATTTTTTTTCAAGTTCACAGTATTTTGTTCGTGAGAGGAAATTGCTTTTTATTTCTTTTCAATTTAAGGACACTTAAGTCAAACTTAAATATTGATATTTGTTGAAAGGAAATGTCATCTTTCAATTTCGCAGATGCTGTGCATGAATTCAGCTGCTGAATGCGAATCAGCACGTCTGCATCAAAGAAATTTCGTTATTCAGAATTTAAATAGTACAAGTGCTTTTCCCAGCTCTGAATACTATAATTTCAGTAAATTTCAGTTAAGTGCGAGTTTTAATAGGCTTTGTTTGCTTTTTAAGACTTGTATGAACCAACGGAGGAAGACTGTTTCTTAATAACACTGAATATGGAAATAAACAAATTCTTTATATTTATGGGTAGTGCGCAATAAACATAACAACTAAAAATCTTTTGACTTAAAAAATATGTTACGAAAAATTGTCTAAGTCAATTTCTAGAACAATCTAGAACCGGAAGTCATTCAGCCGTGACCACTTTGTATAAGAACATTCCAGAACATTCTAATCCTTATGTAATTACTCAGATTAGAAACTGTGTCAAACTACTTAATTTAGTTTCTAGAACTTTAAGCCTCATGTATATTAGAGCGAGAGGTTCTGCTGTAAGAGAGATTGATTCAAATTTGAAGAAGCTTAGTGCTGTAAATTCGT